ATCTTCACTATAACCCCATTGGTCCACTCATCTGGCACTTTTTCCCTTTCCCAGGCTGATGTAAATAGAGGTGCCGGGACCGATGCTGCTAACTCAGGATTTACCTTGGATAATTCTGCATTCAAGTTATCCTTGCCAGAAGATTTCCCATTTTGTAAGGATTTGATGGCTTGAATGATCTCTTCCTTAGGTGGGGTGTCTGTGTTGATATCAAGATCTTCTTCTGCCTCCTGTATGTTTGCTTCCTCTTTAGGTGGCTCTCTGTTCAGCAATTCTTTGAAATGCTCTGTCCAGCGCATTTATTGTTTTTTTTCTGTTGTTAGTAGATGGCCTTATTTGTCCCTGATGAGAGTGTTTGTTGGTGTCTGCCATTTACCACTGATAAGCCGTGTCATTTTGTAGATGGCTCCTTGTTCACCATGAGCAGCTGCATCCCTGTTTGTGTTGCCAGATTATCAATATAATGTTGTTTGTCCATTCTCACAAGGCGTTTGACCTCCTGGTGTGCCTTGCTATACTGCTCGTGATATTTGTCCTTTAGCTTCTGGGATTTTGTATCAAACTTTTTTCTTCGGGGCTCGTCTGGTTTCTATGGCGTTCCATGTGCTGGATGTAATCCACTCCTTCCTTCTCTTCTGCCCGTAGCCTAGACAGGCTTCACTGCTCTGTTTATAAATTGCTGTTACTTTGTCCCACTTCTTGTTGATCTCCTCATCTGCATTCCCCTCTGCTTCATCAAGGTCTGCAAGTGCCTGAAACCTGTTCTTTAACTGCAGAATGAAGGCTTTCTGTATTTCAGGGGACTTTAGCTTGTCACTGTCATAACGTCTATGTCCCTTGTTTGGTGGACTCACACGTCTCAATTTTAGCTTGATGGAGGCTGTCACCAGGTGGTGGTCACTGCCAACATCTGCTCCCCTTCTCACTTTCACATCTGTCAGTAAGCATACCATTTGCTGTTGATAATCATATGGTCAAACTGGTTCTTATCTCTGCAATTTGGAGAACACCATGTCAGCTTATGAATTTCACGATGCTGAAATAGGGTTCACCGATGACTAGGGTCATTCATATTGCAGAAATCAACAAGTCTCTCTCCGTTTTCATTCATGGTGCCACACCCATGTCTTCCCATTGCTCTGTCATTGTTTGTGTTGTCCTTACGAACCTTGGCATTCAGGTCTCCCATGATGATAGTTAGGTTGTGGCATGGTACTCTCTCTAACTCTGCAATGTAAGGTGGAATTTGTCCTTTACTTCTTCATCACTGCCATTTGTCAGAGCATAGCACTGAATCAGGGTGACATTGTGTTTCACTTTCAGTCTGGCTCTCATAAGTCTCCTGATGATGGTCTTCCATTCAAGCAGGGAATGCTCCACTCCCTTCTTCAAAAGGATGGCAACACTCTCATGGTGTTGTCCATCATCCCGTCCAGAATACAGCGAAGTTTTTCCCAAGGCTGTTGTTAAGCCTTCTGTCCTGTCCAGCTGCTCTCGCTGACACCCAGGATGTGTAAGCTATAGTGTCTCATCTCTGCTGTGATCTGAGCTAGCTTCCCTGTTTCGTACATTGTCTGTACATTCCAAAAACCAAGTTTGGTTTTTGTCTTGGTGTTGAGCACTTCAGTCTTCATGCCAGTGGCTTCATACAGGTTATTCATACTCCTGAAGGTCATCACACACAGTAATGGTCAATTTCTCCATCACTGTTTCCATAACAAATTTTGATTTTTTACGGGACAGGATTGTTAGCCCTGTGCCTAACCCCCAAACCGGAGGACCAGGGTGTCTGTTTTGTCTGGCCCCTCCTCCACAGACCAATCCAGCATGGTTGAACCTATCATGAGCAAAAAGACTGCACGACACAGACTCTGGGGATCGTTAGAGCACACAAGCTGTCCCACCACCACAAGGCACGGACACCAGAGGACATAAAACTACATAAAATTTATTCATAATCACTCAATGTCCAAGTGAAACTGTCCAAAATAAAATGAAAAATCTCACTGTAATCTCTGCAAAAGTCAATCAACAACTGTGCTATGACATGGTCAGAACAAAAGTAGAACAACAGAGTTTTTGTTGGAATAATGAGGGCTAAGCCACACCAAACCTCATTTGCTTTCTGAGTCAAATTGTTCCAAATCTGATTTTGACTAGCCAGAGTAAACAGATGGCAGCACCCACAATATGCTATGCACATTCCAGATAGAGTAACAGGCATTAGAGAAGGCGCAAGGAAAGGGTGCCATATAAAGTGAGTCAAGGTGGTTTTACTATGTTTTGGTAATACATGATTATATTAACACAGGATTTTTCCAATAATTAAAGTATTGTAGAAGCTGGCAGCCCATCTGTTTCCTTCATTACTGATATTCCTAGTGTCACATAATATGGCTATCACCATCTCATTAAAAGAAAATGAAAGTAGTAAATTACTTTTAATAAAAACAAGTATTTTATAATCCCAAAGACTACAGTTTAAAACTGTGTTAGGGCTCTTCATTGTACAATATTATAGTATTTTAATATCAAACATATGATCAGATACAAAAATATTAATTTTATTTTTAAAGGGCCCCACTTTTATCTCTGCCACAGATGAACATCCAAGTATGTTATGATGAGCATGAATGATACAGATCTGCTATAACCTCACCCTAGATCAGACTTTTGCAAGACTTATGGATTTCTTTGAAACTATTCTTTCTGTATAATACAAATGCAATATTCTGAACACTGTTTAAAAATATTTCTAGTGAGCTACAGAACCAAAAATATATCTGAAGTCGTTCTTTCAGAACCTAGACACTATAAAACAAAGTAATAAAAAGTGCCACCATGAGGACATAATGAGTATGCCATCAAGAATACACTATAAATAAGGCTAAGATTTTGTCATGGGTTTTTTTTAGTAAAAGCCACAGACAGGTCATGGGCAATAATGAAAAATTCACACAAGCCTGTGATCTTTTACTAAAAATATCCATGACAAAATGGGGAGCCTGGGCATCTACCAATGGGCTGGGAGCTCCAGGCGCCCCCACCACCCGTGGGGGCTCAGAGCTCCAGGGTCCCCCTTGCCGCCTGTGGCTGCCAGGAGCTGTGCGGGCCTGCCACTGCCTGGGGCGGTGGGGGTACACCCAGCACCCTGCCTCCGCAGGTCTTTGGAAGTCACGATTCTGTGACTTCCACGACTAAATCACAGCCTTAACTACAAAGCAAGTGTTATTTCAATGTACAGCAGAACCACAGTAATTCTCACTTCTACTAACCCACAAATGTGCAGTATGTACACACACATACACACACACTTGTTAGCAACTAGCTTTTCAGGCAAAAATCTGTCTGGGGATTGGTCCTGCTTTGAGCAGGGGGTTGGACTAGATGACCTCCTGAGGTCCCTTCCAACCCTGATATTCTATGAAAGATTTTATAGTATATTTCATTACTTAAAAAATATATTACTACAATAAAACTACCATTGACTTTGAAAGTATACACTAAAACAAAATCTACCATTGTCTAAATAAATGAATACCACATGTTTTGTTGTTTCATTTTTGCATTCCAGTTCAAATTAGTTATGCTCCATTTTACTACCTATACATCAAATACTGTTCAAGTTAAATTTCTAAAAACATATAGGCCTACATTTTCAAATGTGACTAGTAATTTGGGGCATCCAACTTATGACACCTTAAAAGGGCCTGATTTTTAGGAAGTGCTAAGCACCATCCCCCAGAAAAATCAGATCCCTTTTAAAGTTGCCTCAAGTCATGTTTGAAAATTCAGGCCATTGTGACTACAAACTATTTAGATTTTCTTTTAAGGGGTATCATCTGTGTGTGTCACAGAAAACTTTGGCTAGGAACATTCACTTAAGGAGTGTTAATTATTACTAGTTAGAAATAATGGGTAAAATCCTGGCCTCATTCAAGTCAATGGGAGTTTTGCCATTGACTTCATTGGAGCCCATATTTCGCCCAAAAAGTTTGTATGACATTCACAAGATACAGAAGAGCTGGTACACCAGACTCCAGGAGCGCCGCCAGCTTTTTTGCCACCCTAGGTCGCAGAAGGTCCCGCCCCCGAAATGCCGCCCCCAACCAGGGCGGCTGAAGATCCGGCCGCCGCAGTCGCCGCCCCCCAAATGTTAGCGCCCTAGGCAACCGCCTAGGTCGCCTAATGGGTTGCGCTGGCCCTGCCAGACTCTCACCTTTGGAGGTTTCAGACTTTTCCTTTTCGGTTTTTTTGGGCGTAACAATCGTTCTCGTTCCTAGAGTAAAAAAGAAGATTTTACTTCTTTAACATGTATTTAGATTACACGTGACAAAAGGAAACATCATTAAATGTTTTCTTAAAGCATGAGGCAAAGTTACAAACAACATAAAGACTTCTTGTAATATTTAAACAGGAAAATTCCCTTGAATGTTTTTCCTTTGAAGCCCAGCAACGTATTCCACAGGTTTATCTTGAAATTAGCAGGTAAAAGTTTTGTAAAATACTGGGCACAGGTTTCTGACAGTTCTTTTTTCTCTGAAGATTATGGAAATATAGCAACACCCATCGGGAGGCAAGAATGTGCCCCGCTCTTCTCAGGCTGAAGATCAATAGCAAAGGCTAGCTCAGCTCTATTAAACCTATATCACTCTGTCACATACATTCTGACACAGAACCACATATGAAGATATTTTTTGATTGCTGCCTTTTTTTTTAAAATAAAAAAGGAGCACACAATGTAGGTTACTCAGCCTCCTAAGGGCAGAAGTGCTAAGAAGATAAGGCACTGACTATTCACACTTACAGGACTCAGTTCTGAATACAAATTAGGAAGCTCAAGCACAAGTTTGTTGGCTTCTGATCCCAGTTCTCTTGTGCCTTTCTTTTAGCATCAGCTTCGAAGAAGATTGTAACAAATCTATGTTGTAACATAAGAAGGTCACAAATATACCTAGGACTTTTAGATCTTGTGATCATTCAGCCAAAGAATACTGACTTGACCTTCAGAGGGGGTAGCAGGAGAAGGTAACAGAGGCAGAAAGAGACAAGAAGAGGGAGGAAGGAAAAGATAACAGGTAGGTCCTCCCTCCTAACTTTTTTTTTAATCCTCTTTTACTCTGCTAACCCCCCTGCTTTACCCTAATTCTATTATCCTTTCCAGCTTTACTCTCATCTACCAATTTCTGTGTCCTTCCCTGTGATTCTTCTAGTTTTAAAAGGATTATAATGATTTTAGGTTTCTAACTCTAATTGCTGCTAAAGCAGCTGTCTCTCATCTGCCAATATTGAACTACATCCTGCTGGAATACTCAAGTGAGGGCTTCTTCTTAGTAATTCAATCCAGAAAGTGGAAGAATAGTAAACTACCAATGGTACAATGCTTGTTTTGAAATGGTGAAGTAATCCATCTCTGCCAGCACACTGCTCCAGAGGAGAAAATTTGGGAATGTACACAGCAATTCAAACTAATGATGGGAACTTAAATAGCACCTTTAATTCAGATGGTTCTTCAAAGTATTGCAACACAACAGTTTAGAGTCGGAAGTGAAAAATACATCTGGGGGAGTTTTAGGTGCCGGC